CCCGAACCCGAACAACGCTTCATGTGTGACTAACCGCCGCCACGGTCAGGCGCACTGACTTCTGGGACAAGAAGTGGAGAGCTGTAGTCAGATCTGGCCCGCAGCCTGTTTTTGGGAATAAAGTTTTATTGGTCCACAGCCACACCCATCTGTGTACGCATTGTTTATGGTCACTTTCCAGGCCCAGGAGAGCAATTGTGACAGAGGCTCTGTGGCTCGTGAAACCTAAAATATGCACCATCTGACCTTTAAAGAAAAAGCTTGCTGACCCTGCCTGAGAACGTTACTCCTAACCCTTCTTATACCGCTGACCCCGTTCCCAGTTCGGCGAAACCCGTGGGCCCTCTCTCAGAACAATGCTCACACGCACAAAGTAAACTAAGCACGGACAGGAACACAAAGGAAAGCGGTTATACTGCAGCAGCTATTTAAAAAGTTAAGAGAAGCGTGTGACACAGCAGTGCGTGTGCTTTATCGACGTGTCGAATAGTAAGAGCCAGCGGTGGGTGTAGCGACGGCACCATTTCCAAGTGGAGACGAGAACAAAGACACCCCGATCTACTCGCACGGTGGTGGAAAGGCCCGGGATCTCTCCCGGCTGCAAGAGCACGCACGCCGCCACCAGGCTGGCTGCCCACTCGCATAATTAAAGGGCACCTCCCACTGCAGTGCGAGGGAGTGAAAGGGGAGACGGAAAATCACTGCCTGCCCAAGTTCATGGGCCCCCTCGGTTCCATTCGCGGGTCTCTGGATGGGTGGGTGGGGGGCGTCTGCAGACCCGGAGTGAGGACCTCTTGCCCCAGAATGTTTTACTAGGTTTTCCTATTGCATCCCTGCCCAAATTAGTGACAATCTTTTTGCCTTTTTTAAAAATAAAAAGCGCCCTGGCTGGCGTAGCTCAGTGGATTGAGTGCGGGCTGCGAACCAAAGCATCGCAGGTTTGATTCCCAGTCAGGGCACATGCCTGGGTTGCAAGCCATGCCCCCAGCAACCGCACATGGATGCTTCTCTCTCTCTCTTTCTCCCTCCCTTCCCTCTCTAAAAATAAATAAATAACATCTTTAAAAATATAAAAAATAAAAAGCAATGAGCAGATGTGAAACCCAGAAAAAGCTGATGACCCAGTCTCACAGAGCTTAACAACAACACTTCTGACAGGGAAGTCAAAGGTTCAGATCCCGTCGTTACCTTCTTTCTTCCCCCCATAACCACAAAATTTTGTAAACGAGGCGTACTACCCCTGAGAGTCCCGCTGGACCACACGATCTCCAAGGCTAACGGCTCTGTCCGCTCCTGCCCGCTGCCCGATTCTCAGCATCCACAGACTGACAATGCAGTCGATCAAAGCGAAGGAAGGGTATGGTTTTACCATTAATTTACAATCTGTAAAATTTACAAGTGCCGTGACCTTAAAAGGAGGGAAGGAACATTCCACAGAGACAACGGCACGCAGGGTGCACATTCACGGTTCTAGAAAATACACCTTTTCGGGACCAATGTAAAAGGTGCTACTCTAAGTAGCAACTTTCTCCTTATAAGACAAAACGCTTCGGAACCATTTCCAAACATGAACCCTTCCGCAACTCCAACTTAGGGGTGGAGATTTCTGGGGAAAGTCAGCTGGGCACCAGTTATGTGCATGTCTTATTGTGCTCAAGTAGGTCACAAAGATGTCCCCAAGCCTGCCATCAACCACCCCTCCCGGCAGCCGTGGCCTCTGTCCGCAAGCTTGCCTGGCCGCGGCAGGACGGCCTGCCAGGACCGACCACGTCCTCCTATTCAGCTACGTGGACTGGGCGCCAGTGATGGCCCGAGATGGGCTTGTGCCCTGGGGCGTGTTGGCTTGCACGCCTGTCGCTCAGCGCCATGAGAATGTCAAACCTCGCCTCTCCCCCGCTGGTCCCAGGAGGAGGATGACAGGCGCGTGGGGCAGGGCTCGCGCACTGCGGTCAAGCCCAGCGGGCAGCCAGGCCACGGCCCGCAGAGCCTGGGCCCCGTAACAGAGCCCGGCCAAGGTCAGCAGGGCTGCCCAGAAGAGACCCGGCTGACCCCCAGCATATGAGCAGACCGGCAGGTTGCGAACACTGAGGTTTCGAGGGGGCTTTGCTACACGGCTCTTTTGTGACACCAGGTAAGTGACACGGATGTCAGCCCCGGGGAGTGGAATGTTGCCACAGAGAAAGCCAAACCAAGGCAGCCCCGGCTTCCGGAGCGGCTGGGTGGCAGGCGGAGGCTGGCTGTGCACTCTGTGAGGGCACACGTTTGGGAGCGCTGCCACCGGCAGCACGTTAGAAGACGGAAAACACACCTGTGGAATTCTGGACGTGATCAAAGAGATTAATTCTGGGCAAACTCACCAAAAGTGTCGCGCGCGGAAGCTGCACATGACAGGCTACCCCCAGGAAGAGACAAACGGAAAGGAACTGGCCATTTTCTAAATAGAACTCAGAGAGAACACAGAAAATCAAGGATGTGCTGGGCTGGACAAAGATGCTCGTCTCCGGCCAGAAAACAGCCTGTGGCCAAAGCTCTCCTCCAGGGAACCGGTCTGGGGGAGAACCGAAGGAGAAGTCAAGGACGGGAACGTCAGGTGCCCTGTCACCACCCCCAAAAGACAGCAGCCAGAGCCCAGCAGATTCTCTCAGCTGGCCCATGGCTCCTCCGAGTCTCGGGGGATTCAACCCACAGGAGGCCATTACCCGCAGCGCCCACTGCCGGGTCCAGGGGAAAGACAAGTCTCCCAAAGAACTGTGGGTGTGGCTTTTTGCACATGGGTACAGAGGAGACTCACGGAGTTTTGTGGCAGCTCTACCACCAGCAAAGCTGTCTCCAGCCTGGACCAAAACAAAGTCTAAAAGGGTCCCCGACTTTCAGCAGGCAGGACACAGTGAGAGAGTTCTCCAAGGTGCACGTTTCGCTCCGCTAAGAAAGGTGCTGGAAAGGACGCACCAGTGGACACGGTCGAGAACCAGGGAGCGGAGAGAAAGCCCAGTCAGGAGCCCTTCCCGGTCCCCAGGGCGGGGGGAGCTGGGACACGGGTCAGAGGGACTGCAGCAGCCATGTGTACCCCTCCTGTTCTTGCCCTTCGAACTGCGAGGTTACGGTGCCTGTCCCAGCTCTGTCCCCAGGCAGTGTGGGGACGGACGGCTTGTCCTCCACGGCACAGGTCTCCAGGTGAAGAAGCCCCATCCTAGACCTGACGGAGACCACGGGGTCCCGGGCTTTGAGCCTGATCCTGTGACTGGACGCCACTTCTGGGGATGGGGGCGGGGCTTGGGAAGGTGTGAATGCACCTGTGTGCCAGAAAGGGGCGAATGGTGGTGGGGTGGACTGCCGTGTGCAAAAATGTCCCCGAATCTTATCCCTCCTCGTCTCTCTGGCCTTTGACACATCGCCCTGCGGTGCCCTCCTCCTGCAGGGGAGCTCAGCCCCATCTCTGGACGCTGGGCCCCAAATACAGCCTGCTTCAACCAATGGGATGCACGTAGACCCCACATACAACCCGCTTCAGCCAATGGGATGCACGTAGACCCCACAGACAACCCGCTTCAGCCAATGGGATGCACGTAGACCCCACATACAACCCGCTTCAGCCAATGGGATGCACGTAGACCCCACATACAACCCGCTTCAGCCAATGGGATGCACGTAGACCCCACATACAACCCGCTTCAGCCAATGGGATGCACGTAGACCCCACATACAACCCGCTTCAGCCAATGGGATGCACGTAGACCCCGCATACAACCCGCTTCAGCCAATGGGATGCACGTAGACCCCGCATACAACCCGCTTCAGCCAATGGGATGCACGTAGACCCCGCATACAACCCGCTTCAGCCAATGGGATGCACGTAGACCCCGCATACAACCCGCTTCAGCCAATGGGATGCACGTAGACCCCACATACAACCCGCTTCAGCCAATGGGATGCACGTAGACCCCACATACAACCTGCTTCAGCCAATGGGATGCACGTAGAGGTTTGCAATGGGGTTACGCACTGGGGCGGACTCGCTGGTGTTACTGCCACTGTCATGACGAGGACAAGCCTGGGACAGCCCACTGGTCCCAGACGGAGAAGGAATAAAATATGGGGAGCACACGGGACTGCTCCAGCCACGGCAAGTGCACAGCCAGGCAGCTCACAGCCAGCAGATCCCCGGCCAAGGTCAGTGGACACCGGGCCTTCCCCACACGTGTGATTAAGCCCAGCCAAGGTCAACAGAGTTGCCCAGCCGGCCCCCCGCTGACCCGCAGTACGTGAGCCTTAAATGCTGAGTGCGACGTGCCACTGAGGTTTCGTGGCGGCTGTCACGCAGCACCCTTTAACAGCTGACAGGCACGCCCGCCAAAAGGAAAACACCCACAGTTGCTACGGGACCCACTCTGCTCAGCTCTCCATCAAGCCGTCTCACGCTGGACCAATCAGAGCATCCTTTAAAAAGGAGGGAGTGACTGACCAACCAGGATGCGGGAATGTACTAAAAATGCATCATTTATGTCTCTATTTCATCTCGCATGTCTCCTCCACTGAATAGTCTACCTAGCGGGTAAGTCATACAGTTACATGAAGACATATATACACGGGGTCTGGCAGAAGTAACGCCTGCTTCAGTGTGGTCGGTAGGGCAATACTCGGGGTAGAATAACCTAAAGTTTTAATTTGAACATTTCACCTAAAAGGTCATAGGGTGTGTTTGAGTGTGATATTGTTATGTTGCAGAAGTACATGCTTAGGATTTTGTAATAAAAGGTTTTGTAATAAAAAAGGGGCATTATTTGTGTTGGACCCTGCATATTTATAAATTGATGTCTTCCACTATTTTACTGAGAAAGGCACTTCCGGGGAGGGGAAAACAGCAGAAACTGCGTACCACGGGACCACCAAACATCCCCAGTTCAGTTTCTTCCGTTGCGACTCAATGCTCTAAGGGGTCTGTGACCGACCGCAGCAGGAGGAAGGTGGGAGCGGGGGCGCGAGCGCCAGGGGGGCCTCACCTGTGTGGGAGCGCAGGTGCACGGTGAGCTGGCTGGAGTTGCGGCTGGCGTAGGGGCAGATCTGGCACTTGAAGGGCCGCTCGTCCGAGTGGATGCGCAGGTGCTTGTTCAGGCTGCTGCTGTCGGCGGCCGCGTAGTCGCACGTCTTGCACTTGTAGGGCTTCACGCCCGTGTGGCAGCGCGTGTGGGTCTTCAGCTTGTCCTTCCGGCTGAAGCACTTGCCGCAGACTTCACACTTGTGGGGCTTGTCTCCTTCGGACACACAACCAGAGCGCATCAGGGGGCAATCGCACATGAGAGAGAAAAGGGGGCCCCCTGCCACTGCCTTCCGGAGAGTGCTGCCCGATGTCCAAAGCCATGCCTTAGGGGACCCCCGAGCTGGACGCGCGATGGGCAAAGCGCTGACGTCTTGGGGGCAGGTCTGCTCTGCTTTGAAGACAAACACACTATCTCCCTGGTGTGTTCTGACCTTCCCTACATTGAGCATGAGTTTCCTGTTCATTAGAAACAGAATGCAACCTAACGTCTGAAGTCCAGCTAGGCAACAAAAAGTGTTCCCTGTCCCCTGTATCCACGGCCCCCCCTTTCCTTTTCACACCAGACACGCCCCAAATCTCAGAACCCGTGTGTTTTAGGAGCTCATGGCCGACCAGCTGAATGTGACACTTCCCGGCCTCACGCACAGCAAGGTGCGATTCTGCGACGCAGTCCCCATCGAGGAACTGCCGGAGGAGGCAAACGGGTCCCTTTCGTAAGAAGTCATTGCCTGCCCTCTACGTTCTCTCTTCCCCCTCCTCCTCGCCAGCTGCGAGCACAGAACGGGGGTGAGCTGCAGGTGCGGGCGGGTTTGGGCAGCGCGCCTGCAGGCGGTGGATGATGCAACGCACTGCACTGTCCTGGCGCAGAAGGACCTCGGATCCCCGCGTGGTCCCACAGCACAGAGCCGCCGGCGCGCCCCGGACCGCCCGCCCACCCACCTCTGATCAGTAACTCGAGGGGGACAAGAAGCCCAAGCGTGTCTGAGCTGGTGCCTGGTTTCTCTGCGACAGCAACTTAACCTGCCCTCACCAGACACAAGTCGGCCTGTCGCCCATCAATTTTTTTGAACATCTGTTTTTCCAATCTCTTTTGTGCCTGGGCGCACCTGCACTTTTTCTTCGGTATGGAAAGAACTCTCGGGTGGCGTGAACACTTCCTTTCCGAAAGGCGCCATGCCTCCGAGTGGTTCTACTTAATTCTCTCAACGACGCGAATTAGACTCCAGGACTGTCTTGCTTTCTTAGCCCAATGCAACGCTGCCTCCCCAATGGCCACATCTTTTCACACCGTTAATATCCACAATGTGACTGTTAAGGCTGAAGTCTTTCACGTGCAGATGTTACCATGAGCTCCTGAGCCCATTCCTTACTCGGCCGTCGAAAAGAATAAAACGCGTGTGCACGCACTGACGAGGAAAGACATTCAGCGGCAGATGGAAAGCAGCCAGTCACAGACCGCCTTCTATGGCACGTGGTGATATGCACTAGTAACTTAGGAGGGGATGGGAGAAGTAAATGGTGTGTGTTTTTTAGGCTCGATGGAGGCATGCCAGAATCTAAGAATGAGACACACTAGGTGGTAAGACTGGTGACGTCTGAGCAGCGGATTAAAAAAAAGGAGGGGTGTGAGTCAGGATTTTTACCTTTTCTTTTATACCACAGATCCAATAGGTATTTTGGACAAATCTTGAATAGCCAAGGGCTCATATCAATTGTCAGCCAAAGCTGATCACTATCATCATAGAAAGAAAAATCTGGTGCTTCAGAACACATCTAAAATGTATAATTTTATCATTAAAAATGTGACTAGTCGCCCTGGCTGGCGTAACTCAGTGGATTGAGTGCGGGCTGTGACCAAAGTGTCGCAGGTTCGATTCCCAGTCAGGGCACATGCCTGGGTTACAGGCCACGGCCCCCAGCAACCGCACATTGATGTTTCTCTCTCTCTCTCTTTCTCCCTCCCTTCCCTCTCTAAAAATAAATAAAAATAAAATCTTTAAAAAAATTATAAAAAAATGTGACTAGTCAAACTGACTAATCCAGGAGCAGTAATTCCTCATTACTGTCAGCTGCTCACATGCCCCTGGGGTCCCTGTCCCGTGCACTTGCAGGAGTGAGCGGCTGCTCCAGAGCTCTGCTGGTGTTGCTCCTGCCACGTCCTCTTCTCTGAAAGGACGGCGGGAGGTGGGAGGGGCTCTTTCTCGTCAACCCCCAACCCAAAGATGTTGACGGAGACACTGCAAGAAACTTTCCTACGAACCCAAGCGTGGCTAACTGGGTGTGAAAGATGCTTTCTGAAGGTTTGCGGAAAGGGACCGAAGGCTGCTGCCCTTACATGCATTTTCACAAAGCTCCCTAGTCCTGTGAACAGTCCCAGCCCCGCACCTGCACAGTGACGAGTGGGCGATGCGAGAGTGACCCGTGGAGCGTCAGCGCAGGGAAGCCCCGTGGAGAGGCCCGCTGCCCGCTACATCGAGAACGCTCACCAGGGCCTGAAACTCAGTAACTCAACCTTCTGATCATTAGAATAAATGGAAGTAGCATGTCACCATGAGGCTGATTAGATGTGATGGTGACCAAGGGTACAATAAGGCACTCATCGGCCATGGCCAGGAATATAAAAAATAACGGATCTCCCAAAGGCCAGGGAACAAATGTCCACTTTGGGCAATGAGTGACCCCTGAGCCCAATTTCGCTGGGTCCCCACATCAGACACGCCCGTATCACGGAGTTACGGGCATCTCCCACTTTGTTTAAGACAGTGTGAAAAAGCAATGCCTTCTCCATGCAGAAAACTCAGGAGACATAAAGATAAGACATTAAAGAAAATGAAAATCACTAGAAAAAAAAAATCACATTTTTCCTTTTCCAAGCATCAATCTTTTTCTCTCCTTTAAAAAGGTATTTATTTATTAAATCTCCCTTCAAAATTGCAAAAATAACATACTGCATCTAATGATGTAAAGATGAGTAAGTTACTATTCTTCCCCCTTATTCTTTTTTACCAATCATCTCTCTCCGCCCGCCCCCCGCCCCCACACGTCCACACAGACACACATTTATGGGGTCACCTCCTCCAAATGAGAAAAACAGGGACATTTACATTTTAATTATTCTGGCAGGTCGGCTTGCAAAATGCCTGTAGCCATTCACATTTCCCCCAGTTAAGTGTGCCCGTATCTGTTCCAGCCCTGGATCTCCACGCTTTAAACACCTTCTGCCAAAATATGTGTAGGAACAGCATCGTATTTGTACTTGATCTGTTCTGGTTTTCCAGCGAGACTCCTATGTCGCATCGCATGTCCGACCTGTCGGGACCCCCAGCTCCGCGCACCGAGCATGCACCACGGTCACATGTGCTGAAGAAGTGTTTCTTACCTGTGTGAATTTTTAAGTGGCGCTCCATGTCCTTCATGCCATAAGCAGTCTTGAACTGGCAACCTGAACAAAGGCAAGGAAAGATGAATAACAAAGGGAAACACGGTCACCGCAGAGTGGAGAAACGGGGCAGACACTTCCGGCCGAGTGACGGAAGGAAAGCCACAGAAACAGGACAGAGGGCCACCCCGGCCTCCCGGCCCGACGCACCCAGGTCGGAGCACCGCGGCCCCGCCTCCCACCTGGACTGCATCGCTGAGTCTCATCCCCAGGAAACATCGGACAGACCCCAGCTGAGGGGCATTTTACCAAACCACGGGCCTGGACTTGGTCAGAAATGTCAGGGTCACGAAAGAACAGTTTGGGATGAAAGGAAAGGACACGTGACAACTAAATGCCACGTGTGACTGTGAACCGGACCCTGGACCAGGGAAAACTGTTTTTCTTTTGATAGAGACAGCTGGCAAAATCTCAGTAAGGTCAGTAATCTGACAATAGCGTGTGTGAACATTAATTTCCTGACTGGGAGGACTGTACTGTGGTTATATAAAAGAATTTCCATGTTTCTAGGAAATATACCTTGAGGCACCGAGGGGTGACGGGACCGAGTGCCTGCAACTCACTCTAAAATGGTCTGAGGGGAAAAATTATGGACATACAGAAAGAATGACAAGGCACATGTAATATGTTAACATTTTAGGAACCCAGATGAAGGGAATACAGACATTTTTTTGAACAATATTTGTAACTTTTCTGTAATTCTGAAGTTATTTCCAAATAAAAAAGTTGGGGTTTTTTTTCCCCCCAAAAAGAGAGAAGAGCAACGTCTCTCTGGTTGTCTTCCTAAGCCACAGCACGGCGTAAAAAATTCACAGCAACCTGCACTTCCCACAAGTCCCATTTCAAAGTCCCCCGGCTATCAAAGTCTAGGCGCCCGGCGACAAGGGGTAGCGACAGGTGGGCCGTGCGCGATGGTGGTGCAAACACTGTGGGCTATGGGTTCTAGGCCAGGCCGCCTGGGGCATGACGTCTGCATCGCGTCATCGAGAGTTCACGAGTTGGAACCCGGGAGCCTGCTCAGCGTCACGTCCTGCACACACAGGACACAGTGCCGCCTTTACCTGGGTAGCAACAGTTCAGCCTCTTCTGAGCAGGTGGGGCCGCGGGCTTCTTGGCGCGTGACTTGGCGGGCAGAGCGATGACGGTGGCCGTCTGGTTTTCACTGCTCTCCGTGGGCAGGTACGTCTGGTAGCCGTGCTCGAAGACAAACTCGGGAGCTGACACTGCAAGACACGGTGGTTACTGATTTTCACAGTACGGATGCCCAGCAGCTCGCTGTCCCTCCGGCCTACCTTCCTTTCTAGAGGATGAACAGGTTGGACTGCTTTCCCAACATCCCTAGCTGCTTGGGAGTGTTCAGGGGACCCTGTTCTAGCCCGTGAGACTCTTGAGAATATCTGCTGGGGGCTTCTGTAAAAGATTTTCTCCTTGACCAAAAAGCAACCAACCAACCAACCAACCAACCAACCAACCAAAAGAACAAGTTGGGGGGCAGAAAGAGAGACGATGGAAGAAAGCTCATTTTTGCTGCCCTGGTTGCACCACTTCCTGTCTTCGGATGTGCTGGAGTGAAGACGTGATGCCCGGATCTGTGGCAGCCATTCTGTCAACGTAAGGGAACGAACACCAAAGAAATCCAATGTTGAGCCAGACCTCTGAAAGCACCCGAATCTCGACTTACTAAATACACAAGAAGTGTCCCTACCGCTTACACCACGTGGGTTTCCTGTTAATCCGGCCAAATGCATTAGGTACTTTCATAAGTTTACCACAAAATCCTAACAAACAAAAGGAAAGGAACTGATTGAAGAAATCCTGGGCAAAACTACGAGTTCACTCAAAAACACTCTTTAACACAAGTACTCCGAAAAAAAAATCCTTGTACTTTCACTGAAGTTTTGAGGAAGAAAGAAAAAGAGACCAAACATCTTTTATCATTATAAAAGATAAAGCAGGTAGTCTCAAATTTCTTTTCTTTTCCTTTGCTTATGAAAAATCTTTGTGCCAGCTTGTTAAGTACGTTCAGGGTGTGGGGCTCGGAAATATTTTCCTCCTTCCTTTATTACATGTCATTTGTTGCAGGGAGGTTGGGTTCAAATACAGAGCACATAAGACCAAGGGTGCTCATTCACTGGGTGAACTTGCCAGGCCGAGACGTCCTAATGATGATTGTAAAAGCCACTGCCATGGTCTGTGCCCCAAATTTCAGTCACTGAGGCACTACCTCTGACATTTTTGCGTTGCATTAACAGAATATACTTACTGAAATCAACACAGACCTAACATCGTTACCTACTTTGGCCACGTCTGAAGCCACAGTGTCTAGCTATGCCTCAGACTTGAGGTGTTGTGTGTATTTTCCTAAAACAAACGTCTTCGTTCTTTGACTGTACGATGTCACAGATTATAAAATGTACCCTTATCTTACATGTAACAGATTTAAAAAGCTGCCCATTAAACACATGATGAGGCAATGCTTTCCTGTTCCTTATTTTCTATCTAGTGTCGATGTGCCTTAGACGTTTTATATTTACTGAGTGCGTTCTCTTAGACCTCTTTGGACATGTGGACTGCCACCTCTCAGATACTTCAGGCAATGGATGACATCATTCTGATGCCTGTGAAATAACTCCCAGGTATCTGAGTCAACTCAAGGTTTCAATTTTTCTCAAGGGAAACCTGCGGAGGGAGGTGGCTTCTGTTGTCAAGTTGGCCAAATATCCCGACAAGCTGCTGCTCTGTCTTCATGCCTAGCCTCTCAGATTTGTGACTCAGTCACACCTGCCTCTCACTGACCTGTTTTCACCTACTAGTGGGATTTGGATACTGCTCCTGTTTCCGCCGCTCTGCTCGGACCCCGGCCAGCAGCCCTGGGCTTCCCAGCCCGCAGCATTGGTGGACCCACCTGTGAACTTGCTACGCGGGTAAGTTCTTGGGCCGCACCCCAGCCCACTAATCAGAAACTCCGGAGCGGACCCAGCACTGTTCCGACAACCTGCCCAGGTGACTATGAGTGTGAGAAGCACTGGCGTGGATGACCCTTGTCCGTGCATCTCAGCAGTAAAAGAGAGCCCCGCTTTGTCGGATGGAGGGATCCAGTTCTCTCGCTGCCACTCTGCACAGTCAAGGCGCTGTCCCTCCCACAATGCACACAGGCTTCGTGCCCGGCAGACAGAGACCCGACGAGTGCTTCCAGGTTCTTCTGGGGACAGTCGCTTTCCATCTGCAACCTGAACTGTCACGCGGCGTCTTGGAAGGCGTTCTAAACAGCAATGCAACTCGATATACGTAGTTCCAAAGCAACACACACGACTCGGCCCAAATGGCAAAAATGTAACCATCCCCAATCAAGCTTGTTCACAGGCACAGGAAGACGGTGTTGTTTGCTGACTGGCTGAGAGCACTCGCATTAATGCCAAGGTGCGCCTGCATTTCAGAGACCCTAACATGTGTCTTTGGGTTGGTACGTGTCCAGGTTCAGCTACTTATTGTGTGTGTAACCTCCCTGAGCCTCAGTTTCTCCCCCTGTAAGTAGAGTTAATCACTGTGCCCACTTCCTAAGGCTGTTGCAAAGTTTCTTGAGGGACTCAGAAGCCAAGACGTGGCCATGGTCTCATAGATAACATTAGAGACTACTGTTGGACAGAACTGGGCCCTGGCACCGGACTTCCAATGGGAGTTTCATCAAGACCGAGGGAGACTGACAGAGGGTGACCGGGGACATGGGATCTGCAGGGCTCAACCGGGATGGCTGCTCACGCTATCATGACTTCCCAACTTCCCACTCCACCACTTTTTGAACAAAAAGAAGGCGGGAAGGTGTGGGGCGAGGGAGGGGCTGTGGGAGGGGCCAGGTCCTCCCTGTGGCCCTGCTCCTGGAGTCCTCACAGTCCTCCAGGGAGTAAACACAACCCCCCCCCCCCCGGGAGACTGGCTGGGCTGCATCTCCTGGCTGCCCACCTGCCCCTCCTCCAGGAGCCTCAGCATCCCCTTCACGGCAACTCACGGGGGCACTCGGGGCATTAACCCCTTCTCAAGAGTGGTTTGCAAACATCGTCTCCCCTCCGCAGGCTGTCTTCCCGTGTCTGTCGCTCCCTCTGCTGCACAGAGGTTTGATGCGGCCCCATCTGTCCATTCTTGCCTGTGTCGTCTCGGAGGGGGGTGGCACGGGAAGCCAAGGGTCAGGCACCCAACCGCAGGGATCGTTTTGGAGGTAAGGCTAACCACGTGACACGCAAGTCCTCCCAAGACAGATGGCTCCTAGGCCGGCAAGGTTTGTCCGAGAACTTGGGCTTTTAAGTCTCGCCTTCCATGGCCTCCGTGGCCTCACCCGAAAAGGGAGGGCAAGTCCCACTCCCGTCTCCGCGGGCTGCTGCGAGGATTAGAGATGGGGCGCGTGACACTGCTGTTGCTGCTGTCACTCTTCACTGATTCATTCAGCAAGCACCTACTAAGCACCTACTCTGTGCCAGGCACTGTTCCAGGCACCAGAAACACACGAGTGAACCCAAACAGCAACCACCCCTGACTTCACGGAGCTGGCCCTCTAGCTGGGAGTGTGTAGGCAGTAAGTATGTCTGATAGATGCTATGGAGAAAACTGAAGCAGGGAGGTGGTACAGGGGGCACTGGGGGCTCGTGATTCTAAGTAAGGTAACCCTGGAAGGCCCAGCGAGAAGGCGACATCTCAGTACAGAGCATGGAAGCACGTGGTTATGAATGGTGCCCTGTTGCAGGTGTCTGGAATTCTACAGCCAACAGAGAGGCATGAGGGCATCCAGGTACCCAGTCGTGCTGGAGCCTTCCGGCAGTTGGGGGCGCTGCAGAGGGGTCCTTGGGATTGGGTTCCACTGCTAAGCCCTCCTCCCTGTCCCCTGATGGCCCAGCTGCCTCCACGACAGTGGAACGGGGCCTGTGTCCCATCTTGGCCAATGGGATCTGGAGTTTCTGGGAAGCATTTCCTCCCCGATAAAGACAAGCTGTCCCTTTCCCAATCTGTGGACGTGGCTGAGTGAAGACTTGAGGCAGAAAGCAGCGGCAGCCTTCTTGTCACCATGAGGCACATGAAGGATGAGGCCAAAGGACTAAGCCCACCACCAGGACACCAAGAAGATGCAAAGAACCCGCCACCTTCGAATGACAGAACTGACCCTGGCTGTGCCCTGCTCATTCTCGTCCCTACAGATATTCAGTATCTGATTATCTGGCCCATTTGCGTTGGGTGTTCAGAGCAAGGGAAAGCAGTGGCTGCTGCAGATTCCCGGGGCCCTGCGCAGGCCCATCAGGATGTTACCCCCAGGGCAGGGGCCCGGGGGACTACACTTCTCACTGAAGCTCCAGGTGTCCTTGGAGAAGCACTGCAGTGAGGCGTTTACTAAGGGACGGTGTGGCATGGTCAAGGGCCCAGATTCTGCGGCCAGGGAGCCTGGGTTCGAGACCCAGCTCCGCTGCTCTATCATCTCAAACAAGTTAGTTAGCCCGGGATGATATTTCTCAGCATCTAATTCATGGTCGTGAAAAGGACTTCATAGAGAGTGCTTAGAAAAGTGATTGGCACTTGATGAGCACTACCCACCAACCAGCAGGTGCTGTGGTTGCCACGTCCTACGGCCAATCGTTACACAGTTTGACTTCTCCATCACTCACGTGCTCAACACCCTTGTGGGGAAGCATGGCTCCTACCACACCCTCCCGGTGTATCTCCAGACACCGTCGTCAGCTCCTGCTGCGAGCGGCCCCACCCCCAGGCCACCGTAAGGAAATGCCCCCTTCCCACCATCTTCCTGTCAAAGGCAGGAGAGTCTTTCAGAACTTACTATTCCTTTGCTCTCACAACGTTTTCCCTGGCTTCCCCCTGGGGGCCGATCTACTACTCCATTAACTCTTTGCAAGGCCGTGCGCATCATAGATGCCTGGGCCCGAGTCTCACAACGAGATCCTCCTCCCTGCTCGTGGGCTGGGTGTCCTCCAAAGACAAGCGCCTCCACGACCCCCGCTCCTGCATGTGGCACTCGAGAGTCCCAAAGCTGGGAGCTCTCACTGGGTCCTCACGGTGGGGCAGGCAGGCGCCCTGCCCCGCGCTTCACGCACACTGACCAGTGGAGCCTTCCGGCTGCCCCCTCCCGCACCCACTCGGTCGCTGTTTCCCTGAGTGCCCGCCCATGTGCGCCGGGCCTGCCTGCAGGGAGACTGACTGTCTGCTAGACCAGACACCGAACCACCGGTTTATGGCTCAGAGGCCTAAACGGGGCCTTCAGATCCTTGCTGAAGGTTTTCAGAAGCAGTTCGGTGAGGTGGGTCTTCCACACGTCCTCGTCCTCCGGCCACAGACCACCACGGCCACACACGTATGGGAATACATTTATGGTTCGCTGCACTGAGGGATCCCTCAGACCATGGAGCTGCGGGGTGTCTCGGTCAGAGGGTGCTAGCAAGGACTCTGGTTTGGGGCTCATGCTAGACAACTTTGGGGGAGCCTGCGCTGCGTGCTGTCGGGAAGTGGGGAAAGTCTACGATTTCACATCTTAATAAATATTACCAAGGAGCAGAGGAGGCCGAAGCTGTAGTGGGTGGAGAAGCAGACGTCGCTCAGATTAGTGGGGAAAGGGGTGTCTGGTGTCCTGTGGCTTAAAAACGACGACTGAGGTGTTCTGGTTTTGCCCCTTCCGCCACGGTCCCGGAGTGGTCCTGCTTCAAGCTAATGTTCTGTGCAACCGCTCCGTCCAACAGGACAGCAGCAGGACCTGTGGGGGCCGGCCCTACTCCTAGCGACACTGGGATCTCGCTCATGGTGGCTCTGGGTGGTCCGGGCCGCCTTCCCTTCTCAGCTGGCTGCCCACGGGCCCTCCCACTCTCCATCTGCTGCATCAGCTACACTGTCGGACCCCCAGCAGCATCTGAATTCACTTCCTTGGCTAAGTAAAAATGGCTTGTTCACTAAATAACCGGTTAATCAACACTGTGGTAAGTGCTAGGTGGGAAAGCTGTGAGAAACCTAACCTCAGGGGTGGGGGGGTGGGGCAGGAGGGGAAATCATGGCGAGCTTCTAGGTGGAGGTGACTTTTAAGCTGGAATCCAAAGAGTGAAAATTAACCAAAAGAGGAGAAAAGATCATGCTGGGTCAAGTGATCAATTCAATCGGTACTGGCTGGGGGCAGACCCTGTGCCAACACTTTCTGTTTTGTTTAGTTTTTACTGCTCCCAAGTCAGTGAGCAAGAGCCAACACGTAGGGACCACTCATGCCTGGTTAGAAGCCTCTAACTTCACTGCAACTGTCATTACTTCCATTTTACAGATGGGGAAACGGAGACACTGAGACCCTAAGTGACCCGCCCGAAGTCACCTGGTTAGCAAGGGGCGGCTGCAGGAGTTCAATCCGGTCTGGCTCAGGACCCCAAACCTGCTATCTATTTCTATCCCCATTTTAACAATGGGACACCAGGAGTCCTCGGAATGTGCCACGGCAGCACGGCGGGCTGCTCGGGCCCCAGACAGTGAAGACTCAAACCCAGGGCCCCGACGCCAAAGCCCCGTGGTTTCAACCCACCAACTTAGAAAACGCACGTGGGACGCTGTTTTTCCCCGCCTGCATCAACGTCTGACTTCACGGCTCTTGCAGGAAAGTTCTTAAATCAGACGTGAAACGACAGGGAGCTTTCCAGCAGAGAAAACATTTTACTTTACAGCCAACGGCCACAGGACGGGGAGGGGACCTGGGAGCTGAGTGGGGAAGGGCTCGGCTTACTCAGGGACCGAAGAGAGACAATGAAGTCTGGACGATGTCTGGGGGAGGGCATCGGCAGCAACCCGCCAGTGTGTGGGTCTGGGCGGTGGCCTCTGGTGGCGAGCGACTCTCCCAACTGGTGGAGACCAGGAATCCTCCAGGGAGCTTGTTAAAAAAACACAGACGCCTGAGTCCTGGCCCCAGAGACCCAGAGTCGGGGGGCGGGGCCCAGGCACCAATGTCTGTAACAAGCTCCCTGGGGACCGGGGACTGTCACAGTGGGATGCTGAAGGCCAGGCTTGGGCGGAGGTGGGCCCCGAAAACCAAACGAAACAGTGCAAAGCCAAGGGGAACGGCAAGATTCTGCTTGTTTCGTGGCCCACAAGCAGCAGCGACCAGAAAGCGCAGCGGAGTCAGGCAGAAAAGCAGCAAACCTCGCCGTCCGTTCCTCACCTGTTCATCCATCTCCGCGTTCACAAACGCAGTCATTTACTGAGTCCAATCACTTCGCCCCAGGTCCTTCATGCGGGTGCCTGCAGAGCCCTCACGATAACCCAGTGATACTGGGTCTGAGGCGCCCAGTTCTATCACCTAACGGTGTCAGGTACCATGATGACCCCTTTGTACACGAGTGCGACTGAGAGACCTGGCCGGTCTAGGGTGCTGGGATACGACCTAACTGCAGACAGGCTGCGGAGCCAGTGGCCTGCCTCCGGGGCTTGGTGCTCCCTTCCACACGGTGCAGTGGGCGGCCCCGTGGGTGGGCACAAAGGGGGCTCCTCCAGGTCTGCCCTGAGCATGCAGGGCAGCCAGCAGACATGAGGCCCGGCAAGAGTGAATGGTCGCGGGGCAGTGGAAATGCCGGGGGGGGCGGGCAAACGTCCTCTGGCAAGGAATGAGGACAGAAGGAAGAGCGGTTCCTGGCTGTGGGGCCAGCCCCAATGACGGATGTCTGGGCAGTTGGCTGCTCATGGACTCACCCGAGAATGAGAGGCCTTGTGCCCAGCTTTCTCCACTTTTCCACAGTCCCCACCACTCCCTAATGCTTATGCACGGCTTATATTTCTCTCACCAGCACTGCCTGCCTCATTCCTGTTCTAGAAGCTTACCATCAATATTCTTTTCACACTCACCTTGAGAATGTCCCTAGGTCTGCACGCAGATCTAGCTCCCCTTTTCAAGGCTAAGTCGCACTCTACTGTCTGAATCTTTCATATTGGTTTCTTCAATTTCTTCTTGACGTCTACATATGAGAGCTCCCCTTTCCTCACCATACACACTGTCCAGATTTTTAAAGAGAAATACATGGAAGCGGACTTAACTGGGTAAATGTGTTTTATGTATTGTTGCATGTAAATGTATTTTGAAATGTAAATGTATTTTGAAATGGGAAAGATTTTAATATTTAAAATTTGAAAGTGATCACAAAATTGCCCGAGTTACATGAATGCACACCTCCAGGAAGGAGAGCCTTGCCCCGGGCCTTCCACTGACCAGCCTCTCTTCAGCTGCCGAGGCAACGGGGCGCACTGGGACGTTTAGGGGGCTCTTGTGTGTCACCTGCTGCCCCCTGCCGACTTCTCCACTCAGCTCTTTCCTCTGCTCTGTTGATTTCAGGAGTTCCTGACGTGTGAGCGGCATTAGGCCACGGTCACATATGCTGCAATTTTTTCCTCCAGTTCCATTAACTTTTTAATATTGTTTTCACTTGGGAAAAATTGCAACTTTATTTGCAACCATATATATGATTCTTTTTCCTTCTTTTTTGGGGGAGGATGTCTTCTTTGGTAGGCATGGCATTAATATGTGTATGTGTGTGTGTGTGTGTGTGTGTGTGTGTGTGTGTGTATCCTTACCTGAGGACATTTTTTTCATTGCTTTTTATAGAGAGAGGAAGGGAGAGAGGGAGAGATAGAGGGAGAAACATTGATGCGAGAGAGAAATATCAATTGGTTGCCTTCTCGTATGTGCCCTGATCAGGGATCAAACCTGCAACCTGGGTATGTGCTCTCACCAGGAATTGAACATGAGATCTTTCAGGCTATGGGATGATGCTCCAACCAACTGAGCCACACCGGCCAGGGATATATATATTTATATATATGAAAATTTAAAAATTAAAGCCCTGGCTGGCGTAGCTCAGTGGATTGAGTGCGGGCTGTGAACCAAAGTATGGCAGGTTCCATTCCCAGTCAGGGCACATGCCTGGGTTGCAGGCCACGGCCCCCAGCAACCGCACATTGATGTTTCTCTCTCTCTCTTTCTCCCTCCCTTCCCTCTCTAAAAATAAATAAACAAAATCTTAAAAAAATATAAAAATTAGAATTCCTTTAGCTAAGGAATACATCCTCCAATTCCCCACAGGACCCCCAATGTCTGCACTATCTCATAAAAGGGTAACTTCATATTCTTAAAGCTATCTGTCTGATCCCCTAGGACAGTTATATAGGTGTGAGTCTAGGTGCGTGTGTTTAGGTGTCTCAGTGTGCCTATCAGAGTGCGTGTGTGTATGTATTGTTTACTCTAGGACTTCCATGGTTTCATTACACACGTTTAAATTTGGGATCCATCCGCAATTTATTTTTGATTGAGTGGACACAACCCAGAACTGGGACGAACTTTTGTTTTTCTGGTTGCAGCCCAGGGAACAGGAGGCAGCAACACCTGTTTGTAGGTTTAACAACAAACAACTCTGTATTTTTTGTCCCTTTATACAAATAGTGCAAATTCAAGAATTGTGCACGTACTCCCATCACCCAAAATAAGCATCTTTTTAAAAAAAACTGCAGTGTACTTCCCACAAGTATTTTCTTCCTAGTATATAGGTTTTTGTTTTAGAAACTTTTTGTTTGTGGGTTGGTTTATATTGTGTAACATGGGACAACGCTGATAATGCTAACACTTAATGGCTTACCCCAGCAGTTCCCAAACCTGGCTGGGCAGCTGGTTTCCCAGTGGAGCTTGTTAAAAATAATGAATCAGCAATCCTCGCGGGCAGACCCCGGGAAACTCTATTTTCACAAGTTCCACGGAGGCGTCTGGTTCACGGCCCGCTCCGACCGGCTCCCCACCCCGCGGCCGTACCTGTGACTGTCTGAGTCTCCGAGGTGATGGTTCTGGTGGTCTGCGCCTGCGCGGCCGGCACCGTTTCCTCCGCCACAAACTGCACAGTGTTGGGGGCCGCCCCAGGCACGCTGGGCAGCTGGCAGCCGCTCTGCTTGTGCGCGACGAAGGTGTCCAGGTTGTTGAACTGCTGCTTGCAAATGCCGCAGATGTGGATGTCGGGGGTCAGCTCCACCAGCACCGTGGTGCCTCCTGGAACTCCATGGGGCAAAGGGAAAGTCACAGGTTAATTCCAAGTAGCCTGAAATTACACCGCCAACCGGATCCGCGGGAGGGAGAACAGGCATGGTGGCGGATGCGGCCGGGTGCCGGCTCAATGCCCACTCTGCTTCCTTCTTCCTTCCGGGAAACAGAATCCCAGTGCTGTCCTGGCAGCGACATACCCAGACCAAGTAATGGCTCAGACCACAGTTTTGTCCGGAGGGGCACCAGGGGCGTTTTACACAAGAAAGGTCTTTGATGGGCACACCTACCCTGCACTTCCGAGGACCAGCAGCCATCTCTTCCTCAGCTACACAGCAGTTGTACTTCCCTGTCACTACAAAAACCTATCCTTCCACAGTTCCAAACCCTGTCCCTCTGCCCCACCCCCAAAGAAAAGACCCACTAGTTTAAATAAGCTTGGTCCCTTACATACGTGGGAACCCTTCCAGCACACTGGTAAAGGCGCTTCTGGAGAAAGTCTGGCTTTCATGATAAAAAGGGAACACTTTGCCTTGAATGCAGATGTGATGAAAGGGGCTTGTGCAGCCACATTGAAACCATGAGGAAAACACTAAGATTCCTACAAACGCTGGTCCTTACTTCACTGATCTCCTGAACCAACCAATTCCAGACTTCTCATTGAGATAATATAGTTCAGTTTTGTTATTTGTAGCCAAAATTCATTCCTAACTGATAAGGACATTATTTCTCAATATAACAATATCAAGAGTTAATACTGCGTTAACACTGGCACCCACCGCAGTGCCCGGCACTATATGAGAAAGTGCGATGTAAATGTTTACTGAATAAAGGAACAGCACTAATTAACACGTCTCTAATATGAGAACCTTAATTTTTTATTTACCGTATTTCTCAGACTATAAGACGCACTTTTTAACCACATTTCTTGCTTCAAAATATTTTTTCCTCTTTCCTCCTCAAAAAACCTAGGTGTGTCTTATAGTGCAGACCCCAGACGCACCTAGATTTTAGAAGAAAATAGAGGAAAAAAATTTGAAGCAAAAAATGTGGCTTTAAAAAAGTGCATCTTATAGTCTGAAAAATACGGTAAGTTTTTTTTTCCTTATCATAAAGAAACACATGTGTATACTGGAGAATTGGAAAGAGAAGCATTGGGGGAATCACAATTTTTCATGTGTACCATGAACATTAAAAATATTTTCTTCCATTCATCTTCAATTAAAAATTGTTTTTATTGAACTTTGTTCCAAATCATAAGGTAAAGTCAATCTTCCTCCCCACATAACCTCTCATAGGTATTGTGCTACCTCTCTAAAATAGGTTTATAAATATCACCATGTAATAATACATTCACATGAGTTCGTTTTACCCATGCTTCATAACCTTCAGTAACTGTACGGCCTTTATATTATTTCCAATTTTCCCCATGTCTACGTAACAGAAACACTTTGGGCATATACGGCTGGCATCCACGCATGACAAGTTTCTGAAATTTCGTTAAATAGTTACATTATGTTCACGTCCCCCCAGTCTGGCTAAGGCGGGGAGTCTTCGCGCGGAAACACAGTTTGGCTGACTTGCTACAGAGAGACGTGGTCCTGGTGCTGTGTCCTGTGCACCTAAGCCCTCCAGGTCAGTGGAGGAAAGAAGGGCACACCTTTCCTTCATCCCAGAACGCTGCTGCTGCGGTGCCCCTGGGACCCACTGCAAAACCGGGAACCAGGAGATGAAGTGACCTGCGTCGCTGAGGTTCCTTAATGAGCGCACAGGGCTGATCCCCAGAAGTAAACGGGGAGAAAAGTTCAACGGTTCAAGGACATGGTGCTTGTAACAGGCCAGCACAGGGGTCCCCCGCCCCCCCACCCCACGTCTCTCGGTTGGGTTATTACTGAGGTACCCTATCCTGTCTGAACTTGCAGGTCACCCCCTCTGAAAATCTGGAATGATGAAATGTCCACACCCGCCTCTTGTGCTTGGAGGGAGAACGACTGAGACCAAGTGGAAACAATGGGCGCCGTCTGGGCTCACCACCATCAAAAAGAGTTTCTTTATCGTCGCACAGCTCTCCAAACCTGTTTCAGCATCAGAATGACCCGAGGGAGGCGGGCTAGCAGTCAGGCAGGACGCCTCTGAGCCCTGCTTCCGAATGAGTCATGAGGGAGTGGGGTGAAGGGGCGCTGGGCTTCAGGGAAATCTGTGCTTTTCACAAATCAGGCGAGCGTACCCCGCCTCGTCTGCGAGCTGAAGTCTCCCGAACTGTTAACAGTAACAGCTAGCACTTACTCTGTGCCAGCGGTCGGCACCCCCCCCCCCCCCGCGCCGGGGGGTTTTCAAACTTTAAGTACACCTGAATCTCCCTCCCAGGGAAGGCCAGCGGGTCCCTCCCCTCCTCCACCGTCCCCCCCCGCGCCCTGACCTGATGGGTGGGGCCCAGAGAGCTTTATTCTATCTTTTAAAATAAGCGTTCGTCCTCCCAGGTGGCTGGTTTGCGCTCAAACTCTGGGCCATTCCTTGGGAAACAACGCACGGGCGAAATCGGGGACTGCCTGTTCTCATCGGGAAAACAGAAATGCACCTCAAACTCAAGGAGAAGGAGCACAGCTCCATTCCCCATTCAAATCTCCACCTTTAACATGGACAAGGCTTTGCAGGAAGGCGGCAAGTCTAGCCGGCCAGACCTCGTGAAACCCTCCAATCCCCAGACTTCAAGGATTTGGGGCCACCGAAGCAGAAGTTTTCCCACCAGCATTGCAGCGGTTACCCCCAACCCCCCCCAAACTCCGCTGCGGGGCCCGGGAAACGTCCCAAGGGGGTAGGAATGGCTGAGCAGAATTCCCTCCCCCACCATTCCCTTCAAGGGGTCTTGCAAAACTGGGGAGCGCCCCTAGCCTTGCGCCGGGTAGAGTGCCCCCACCCCAAGCCCACTCCCGCGCCTTCTGCACAGCGCGCCCGCCGCGGTCTCCGAGATGCAGGCACGGGGCCGTCACCCCGATTTCGGGGCCCCGGGCCTGCTCACTGCGTAGCAGACGTGCTTGGGCCCGGGCCCCGGAGCGCGCACTGTGCCCGGAAAAGCACTTACTTTGCACGGAGCCCGGGAAGCTCTCGCCCTCGCTGTTCGCGTTCATGGCCAAAGACTGGGGGTATCCCCGGCCGGCCGGGATGGCAGGGCGGGGGGCAATGCTTTACATGGTATAGGGGCTTTTCCTTTTATTTTTCCACAACCCCCCAACCTTCCTTCTCCCAACTCTGCAAGGCGGGAGGACGGATGTAAAGCAAGCTGCACTTCCGCTGCCTAGAGGGCGCTGGCCGGACTCAGCCGCCCCAACCCAGCTTTGCAACAGCGGCTCCCCGGGGAAGCCGCGGGCCAATCCCGATACCCGGGCCGCCCGCCCCGGACTCCCGGAATCCCTCGGGATCTAGAAGGCGCACCAGCGCCCAGGAGGGTAGGCAAACGCTGCTGGCAAGGGGGCATGCGCCCCATGCCCGCAACCCTGCGGTCTTGGCGTAGCGTTTGGCTTCCCTGGCTCTGGCGCCTTTGCACCGGCCACCCTGGACGCCTGGTTCCCAAGGTGGCCAGGCAGCCACGTTGCCGGGATGCAGCAGTTGGGGCTTCAGAGAGGACCCCAAAGGGCTGCCGTTGGTGGGTGGGTGCTTGGAGTGCTGTGGACTTGAGATAAACCCCAGCTGAACGCACATTGGAGCGCTGGGCGGGCCCCTGCCCAACTAGTGAAATAAAAAAGACTGTGATCGGGTAGGTACGGGTAACAACTTGGGCCAAATGGTGAAGGCCCCTTCTTCCAGGGGTGCCCCAGCCTTACCGTGCACCGGCACCTGGAGGGCTTGTGAGAGACTGCTGGGCCCACCCCAAAGTTTCTGAGTCAGTACGTCTGGGGTGAGGCCCGAGAACGAGTATTTCTAAGTTCGCAGGTGAAGTCCCTGCTTGGAGAAGCCATCCTTGGCTTGCCCATTCTTATACTGCCCCCCTCTGTTCCCCCACCCCCCATCCGCTCGTCTCCCTCCCGTCAGCTTTATCTTGCTTCTTAGAGCCTGTTACATCTACCATTATGATGTATCTAGAGTCTATCTACTTATCTGATATGTAATCTCTGTACTATTACCTGTTCCCCCTTCTCCCTGACATTCAGTAAGTCCCCATGAAAGTGTTTTTTTTTTTTAAAAAAAAATCTTTTTGGCCCTGGCTGGTGTAGCTCAGTGGATTGAGCATGGGCTGCAAACCAAGGGGTCACGGGTTCGATTCCCAATCAGGGTACATGCCTGGGTTGCAGGCCAGGTCCCCAATAGGGCATGTGTAAGAGGCAACCACACATTGATGTTTCTCTCCTTCTTTTTCGCCTTCCCTCCCTCTCTCTCTAAAAATAAATAAATAAAACCTTTAAAAAAATCTCTTTGTTTCACTGACATATCCATCCCCAGCAACTCTGCCTAGTGCCAGGCACATAGCAGGCTCTCAGTAAATGCGGCTTTCTAACTAATGCAATCGTCCCTGCTGCCTCCTTTAAGGGTGTGTTCCTTCCTGTAGCGGCTGTTTGAGTGTTTACAATGTGCCAGGCACTGTGCTAGACCCTGGAAGTACAAGGGTGATCCAAGAAGAGAACTTCCCTAGTGGCTGCGATGCGGTCTACGCCAGTCACATCGGCCGTGTCATTTCTCGATAGGGACAAGGTCTCGGAAGACGTAAAGCAAGGAAGTGACAGTGGCGGTGGGAATGGTCCAGGAAGGCCTCTCTGAGCAGGTAGTACTTGGGCGTAGTACTTGGGCGCAAGAACCCCGAGGCAGGAGTGAGCTAGATGCGGATTGGCTGTTGCCCGCCGGTCCAGTGGCAGGTCTGCCCTGCTCTCCGTCTTTGCTCAAGCCAGTGACGCCATCCTCCTCCCACCACCCTCCGCGCTGTTGCTCCACCCGGACCACCTCTCCCTGCCCCCGGGGCTCCTTATCTGCTCTTCCCTCCGCCAGCGTTGCTTTTCCCTGGTCTTCGCAGGGATGGCTTCTTTCTGTCACTCAGGGCCAGATGGAGTGTCGCCTTTCCTGTCTCTTCTCTAAAGCACCTGCCCCCCTTGGTACTCTGCACTATATCACCCCCCCCCCCATAACACCCACCCCCAGGTAACATGATTCACACGGCACTACAGCTTAGGACAGTATTTGCTTCTTAATGCATACGTGCACCTGCATGTGTGGTCTGTCCGGAAAACATCTAGCCATTGTTAGTATAAACGAGAATGGTTTGTGTGACATCGAGGTAACCTGGCAGCCAAGGAGAGCGGACTGGAATGCACATGCGTGAACAATGACCACTTCTCTGTACTAGCCAGTGGGGGCTGTAGACACTGTTGAGTGAGCACATGTACTGTGTGGCCGTCACATTCAAAACGACTGAGCGAGTGGAGCAACGAATCTGCGTCAGATTTTGCGTTAAGCTTGAACATTGCTCCGCGGAAAGTATTCGGATGACTCGGAAGGCTGGGCCATGGGCAGCTTCATCCTGACAGCGCAGCTGCTCCTGTGTCACGTGTCCTGCGGAGTTTCTCGGCAAAAGATCGAATCACCAGGTGACTCAGCCCCGCTACAGCCCGGATGTGGTGCCCCGTGACTTCTGGCTTTTCTTAAACTAAAATCACCTTTGAAAAGGAAGAGATTTCAGACCCTTGATGAGATTCAGGAAAATACGACGGGGCAGATGATGGCGAAAACGAGAAGTGTTGAGGTCCCAAGGTGCCTGCTTGGAAGGGGACTGAGGCATCATTGTCCTGTGTACAATGTTTCTTGTGTCTCCTTCAGAAAATGCCTCTATTTTTTAATCGTATGTGGCTGGATACTTTCTGGACAGACACCGTGTGTGTGTGTGTGTGTGTGTGTGTGTGTGTGTGTGCGCGCGCGCGCGCACGCATGCATCTCATGGTCAAATATTCTATAAAAGTACGACTATAACATACATCCTGTTTTTTAATCTTCTTTTTGGGTCATACATAGTATGACTATTATTTTAAAAATCACTGAGATCGCCGCAGTCATAGATAAACTGTACTTACATCTTTATGCAGTCTACGTCTTTCTAAACTTTTATCCGTAGGAATAGAAGGAACCACATGACCTGGTGATACTGTCTGACTTTAACTTAAAAATATTAATCTCACACGGTTCAAATTATTACAGGGGTGGGAGTAGGATTACAGTTGTGAATACATGAAACACGTTTTATTCCTATAATATTATTTATTAATTATCTGCATCATGACTGCAAACCTACTTTTCCCCTGCTATATACTGTATGTAATATTGTGCTTCTGCTAGGGATCGTTGTTTCTGTGCCCAGACTGGTTGTATCAATTTTTTTTTTAGAATTTCTAATTCGTAGCTGAATACACAGCCTCTCCTGAAAAAGATTTTTCCCAGCCTCCTTTGTGGCTAGACATGGCTATGTCACTAAATTCTGGCAATGTGAAAGAAATGTTGTGGTGTAAATTCTGGGAAGTCTCTTAAAAATAATGGTTTTCATGTGCCTTTTGCCCCTGCTTGATCACTCCCTGCCTTCATTGCTTGGAATGAGGATGTGAGGGCTGGAGCCCCAGCTGCTATTTTGGACTATGAGAATGAGGCTATACTCTAGCTAGGGTGGGGTGGTGAGCTGGATGTAGCCCAGGTCATTAACGTCTTTATCAAGGTGTCAACTAGATTGCCAACCTCTGAGCTCCACTTACACGAGCAATGCACTTTATCTCGGTTCAGCGACTGTTATTTATGTGTGTGTGTGGGGGGGGTTGTTTCTTTCACATGCAGCTGAATCGGATCGTAATCAAACACGATACTGTGCATATTGCCTCATCACTGGCTTTGGTTTTGCAGGCGTTTCGGTTAGGACGGTGCATTAGAACGACCTGCGAAGTTGTGAAATATACGAACACCCCAGCCCCGTTTGTGGCGACGGCTTTGGAAGGACTGGTGTGAAGCCAGGGCCGTGGTGCATCTGACAAGCTCCCTGGGTGAATCTGATGCACTTGCCGGCTTCTGCCGCCCACTCTCAGTCTTGACGGCGGCATAGCCTTTCGTTATGAGGTCTTATCGCAATTTACTTGCTGTGCTACTGGATTTAACAGAGCTGCTAGGATACCTTGTTTGAGCACCATTTGGAAGCGTTTTTCTCTTCCTTTCCCTTTTCAGGTCATTTTCAGTGAAGATTACATTTCCTACAAAGTTAACAGCATCTGTTTGACTAGAATGCTTGTGATTTCTTCTGTTCTTAAGTTTTTGACCGCTTCTCACTTAATAGATAAGACATAATTTAGAAATGGCAAACTTCCTGCGAGGTACAGACATTTTTTGGTAATCCTACTCCACGTTTGAAATCTAGAATCTAAAATAACTGGAATCTGTTGCCAATGCTTTAAGTGGGTAGATTTCTTATAAAAATTGAGATGTATAGCCTTTTGAAGAAATGTAAAGATCTGGCAAATCTCGGCCTAGATTACCGTATAGCAGCACTCGGCTGGGCCTAAGGAGCTCCTTTGCACAAAGCCTGGCCTCTTCAGTTCACCCTCTCCTCCCTCCTACTTCTGAGGGATTAAAACTGAGTATCAGTGCACCAGACCAGTGCCCCTGTGCTACATGTATTTGAATTTATCCAAAATTCCCAATATGTTTCTACCAGAGAGAGACTCGCCTTTCCCTATGGTTTAAATATTTCTCTTGACTCAAAACCTCTGCCAAGGAATTACCAACATTACCTGTACTATGTCCTGTAATCCTCCAAACAACGGAGAGTTGGACGCTATCGTTGCTATGTTATTGATGCAGAAACTCTCACAAAGGTTATGTGTTTTCTCTAGTCAAAAGGCCAATAAAGGGCTATCTCAGATAAGAATCTTTGAGGGGAAGTAACAGAGGTGGTGGAAGGGCAGAGATTTGCCTAGTGTTTCAAAAATCAATCTGTTAGGAAAACTTCCTAGCTTAAATAATTTCTGGAAGGAGATTTTCAGATACTTTCTTAAATTATTAAGAGGATACACATTTTTTTATTCTGGTAATGTTAACTATAAGAATAACGAAGTCATTGGATTCACTGACATAAGTTCTGGGAGCAAAGATATTCATCCTCCCCTTAACAAAACAGTTCATAATTTCAGGTGACCAAAATTTGTTCCACAGTAAACATTACAACAAATGTTTCCTATCACAATTGTGCACAGTACACTAAAATGTAAGTTCTCAGGACAGGAACTTTTATTTTCTTTTGCTA